TCTAATTCCCCACATGTGTCAACCAAGTCTGTGAGCCCGGCCACCAGATGCCGTTAGTCGCCCCTTGCAACAAAAATGGGTTTCTGAAGACGAATCCTAACCCGGCCCGAGTCAGTTATCTGTCTTAGGCTATACCGATACAAGTATAAGACAAAATATTATGGATGTCAACTTCTTTATTGTATACACAACGTTTCTGGGCTATTCCTTGCCCCTTCGTCATTCGCCTGACGGCGTCATTCACCTGACGAAGGGGCAAGGAATAGCCCAGAAACGTTGTGTATACAATAAAGAAGAAGTTGACATCCATAATATTTTGTCTTATACTTGAATACCAACTTCTATATACCTCTCAAGAACCTATACCGACACACTTACTCACCCTCTTGGCGTGTGGCAGAGCATGACTATGGGCGTATGAAAAGGAGTGTTGTAAAAGTGTATGAAAAGACACATTGTTCATACAAATATGTACAAAAAATGTCTCCCACTATATATTTCAGTTCTTGGCAACCAATTAAGAATGCAAGAGTGGGACGTCCCGTATGTACATGTACGTACTTTTACCAACACCCGACTCTACTGTTCTAGCTGTCAAGATTATCAGTGCAGGTGCAGTTTCTGAAATTGAAAGTTATGACATTTTATTATAAAAATACAACCGAGGTCCATAATTGACCGAAGCATAATACCATCGGTATATGGACTTCTTTTTCATTATGTTTCATTAATATAATTAAGGAACAGTTTTTCTGCAAAGTATTTCATAGACTGGCTTTTGGTCTAAACACCGATTTGTTTCGAGTATAAGCCCTGGGCCACCTGTGTCACCCAGGACAGGCGATACCCGGAATTAATATCTCAACACCATGTTGGAAATGTGATTTTATAGACATCAACTGCCATTGAAAACACTGGAATGAAAACCCCCTTTGAATCACACGCATGATTGTGATCTCACTCAAAAATCCAGAAAGAAGATACAGGGACATAGCATCCTTCCTTTCAGAAGCTGAGCGACTACTCAGGCCCAAGCACGGTGTGCTGTAACGATGTACAATGGCTCACGTCGCTGATGACGTGTTGTCGAAACGATTACAATACACTTCGTGCAAAATGCCAAATCACAAAAAGTACCCGTGATTTCCAGTAGGTTGTATCTTTGTCTGTATCTAACGACTAAGTATAGAACTAATCGCTTCAGCTGTAGAGTCCGGGAGTTTACTTTACAAGAGCCACTATGTGGTAGTGTTCTCACTATTTCATGCCCTAGAAACGAACAAAACTTGCAATATTTACGAACTTATTGCAGAGGGATCTGGCGGGCACTCACTACTTCGTCGTTGCCAAGAGTATTATGCTAATGTGGTACCAGCCCAACTGAACCAAATGTTTGGCTGTTATCTGTAACCTTATTGAAGGTGTTTCACATGTCTATAGTAAGGTATTTACACGCTGCAGGCGTTCACAGTTATCTCACTGAACCATCAAGGAAGCTGATCAGGTATATGTTGCAATCACTGAAATCAGATATTTTCACAATATATATATATATATATATATATATATATATATACTATAATATCAGATATATATATATATATATATATATATATATGTTCATGGAAAGGGCGTTTGAAGTTAGGGAATTCTTGCCCAATCCATTTGACATTTTATGTCAATACAATCTGCTGCATAACAAAGCATGGTGTCTGAATTCTGATACCTGAAAACATCAACAAGGATTTCACTGAAATCACTAAAATTACATTTGCAACACACAAGGGCGTGGAACTGACGAGCATTTTTGTTAAAGCGTTGAAATGGCACATTTGATCTTGGTCGGTGTGGACGAAGGATTGTATTTGTGGAGAATATGGTGAACATTTTTCATAAAGAAAGTCGCTCCAGTATAAGTAATCGCTTTGAATTTTCAAATGGTTAGATTTGTGCCTGTTTGTAGCGTTGAAAATGGGTAATCTGATCTAAAGTACTCACACTTTCTCACCCAATTTCACCCAATCTCACCCATAACATCACCCTACTCACCCAACCTCATCCATCCTCAATCCAAATCACCCAATGTCTTATACATAATCCTATCACATCCTCCAACAACTCCACCCAATCTCACCGAACCTCACCCAATCTCACCCATATCCGCACCCTGTTCACCCCAGCCTCAAACCAAACTCACCCAGGAATCACACCTTTCCCATCATTACTTGTACATACACAGCCACTTGGTAAAACTGGTGTACGGCTGCATAATCGACCCAAACACACCACCAACCCAAAAACACACAACACACATGTAGCACACACAACACAACACCACACACACACCACACCACACTACACATGCACACACGCCACACAGACCACATGCACATACACGCCACACGCCACACACGCACGCGACACACACCACATGCCACGCACACGACACACCACATACACACGTGCCACACACTACACCACACACAGACGCCACACCAGACACTCCACACACACCACATGCACACACGCGCGCGAGACATACACGCCACACACACCACATGCACACACGACACACACGCGCGACACACACACACGCACGCACGCACGCGCGCGCGCGCGCGCACGCATATGCTCCTAAATGCAGGCTCTTCTTTCATATATATGTTTGTGGTTGACCTCAAGATGTATAAGCACGGCCTTTCCAACCACATCCTAACGGAGTCACTGATTCAGCGAAAGACGATTGTCAGCAGGTGTGGAATTCATCGTCAGGGTATATTCCATTATGGGTGTGTGCAGAACATGGATGAATATTTTTAAATATGTGTCAATGGAAACCTGTGTGTTCTCGGAATTTCGTTGAAACTGGAAATCTATTAAACGGGAAAGCAATTTAATTTCCTTGTTTGATTATCTACGTGTAAGCTAATATTTTACAGTTTATTCTAAATATAAGTAAGCTATTTTGTGTTCCATCTCGACAGGCGTTTCCACCCTAAATGACATAGTCTGTAAAAGTTCAATGGTGGGATCTCCCTCTAGTGGCCCCATAGATGACATTTACAGATAACTGGGCTAGATTATTTTTTACTACCCATGTGATATATATGGTGACGTGGTGTGTGTTAGTGTTGACTGTGGTTTCATTGCCCCATTACCTTGTCCCGGTGCCTTGTATAGTCCCCGTACCGTGGTTTCATTGTCTCAAGACTCCAGGGAGATCGGCGCCCGGGGACATTGCTATCGGGGAGGTTCACATGCCAGTGGCTTGCTGGGGTGGTGAATATACTATATAAGGATGTAAATATTATTGAACATATTACAGTGAGTGAGTTCAGTTTTACGCCGTTTTTATCAATATTCCAGCAATATCACGGCGGGCGACACCAGATATGGGTTTCACACATTGTACCCATGAGGGGAATCGAGACATATGCGCGACCAGCGAACGCTGTAACGACTAAGCTGTGTTACAGTGTTACAGATATCACACATGTAGAACATATTACAGATATCACACATGTAGAACATATTACAGATATCACACATGTAGAACATATTACAGATATCACACATGTAGAACATATTACAGATATCACACATGTAGAACATATCACACATGTAGAACATATTACAGATATGACACATGTAGAACATATAACAGATATCACACATGTAGAACATATTACATATATCACACATGTAGAACATATTACATATATCACACATGTAGAACATATTACAGATATCACACATGTAGAACATATGACAGATATCACACATGTAGAACATATTACAGATATCACAGATGTAGAACATATTACAGATATCACACATGTAGAACATATTACTGATATCACACATGTAAACATCACACATATATGACACATGCAGAACATATATTATAGATATCACACGTGTAGAACATATTTCATGGTACATTCTTGCATATTAATATTTTCAAATACCACTTTATGCAGGAGTGACATATCCAATAATGCAAATTTAAATCTCAGGTTGAATTCAATATTTCAATAGGGTTTTTTTTATACCGAGGACCAGGAGTGATTTCTGTCGCCTCCCGCATCGTGTGGGCAAACATAGCCGCGAGTGTTATGACATCATCGTGTGACACAGCTAGGTATCTTGTATTAGCAGGGGGATTTCTGCCAACTTTGTATCGTATAACAATCGCATAGCTACCTACCCTTCATTCACAAGGAACTATAATAGCTGGGCGTGCTTTGCTGATGCACGAAACACTTCGACCAATCAAATCAGTGACTTTACTACTGGAACGGATATATACTTCCGGGTCCTCATTCGATTGCGACACCTCAATATAACGCGTTATCGGCGTTAAAGAGAGTGTAATCAAAGGTGAAAATATGACTTCTGTTAAAAGGTAATACACGTTATAACCTTGTTTATTCACATCAGTGCTCAATAAACACTGTAACATTGATGTGCATAGTTAACGTTATAACGGGTTAACCCACGCGACACGACCATGTCGTATAACCAAGCCGGTGATCGTACAAGTTTTATAAACGGTATATAACCTTTTTCATCAAAAGCAGGTTTGCTCATTGTGTTAATTATTAAGTCGTCGACATCAGAATAACAATCAACAGTGTTGGATATTATCATTAACATCATGATTAAGTTTGCTTTGTATCGAAGCTGTCACTTCATGAGACTACACGCCAGATAAGCAGAGACACATTCCGATGCGCTAATTGAATATCCGTCCACGCGTTCGTGCTTTCCTAATCAATATTCAAGATGATAGTCACTTTGCATAGTTATTATGGGTCCTTTACAATCTGGACAGTGGAGAAAAATGTCACGGAAATACATTGTTGTATGAGCCACGTCATCCTACGTGTTAGCCTACAGTACGATACATGCTATTTATACCAGATGGAAACCCCACCGGATTTGGTATTGTATATATATCGCTACTTGCTGCTGTAAACGACATTCCATCATCAGGCAAAACATCAACCGTTTGCTGATCAACAAATCATTCCATTCTTCACTCACATTTCTGTTGAAAGTTTTCCATTTCCAACATGATTTATGAGCTTTGTGTTCTGGTGTGTGTAGGGATCCTCTCTACGTCCGCTCTACCTGTTGACGACGCCTGGAAACACGTGGTCAGACAACGTCGTAACGTCGCCAACTGTCAACCACCTCAAGATATCAACCAACTCTTCCAAAGTCTTAACGCCAACACCGACGTCTCCATCTTTCTTCGTAACGCTCAAGGTGCCAGACCAGGGTCCTATTTACATGGAGAGCTGAACACCCTCCAGGTATTCGACAGTTCCAACCTCGACGGCATCACCTGTCCCAGCAGCGTCAGTGACGACCCTAACGACCCCCTGTGGAGGAGATCCCTCTGTCCTTGGTACTACAACGTCACCAACCTCCCCGTCGGTCACTACCCAAGTGCCATCCCCCAGGCCGTGTGTAAGTGTGACAAGTGCGTTGACAACAACCAAAACCAGTGCGAGAGAGTTTCCACTCAAATCCGAGTTTTAGAACAAACTGACTGTGAAAATGGTTTCTTTATCTACAAACCCAAACTCATTACACACTTCGTCGGCTGTACCTGTGCCAAACGCCGGACAACAACAGTGGGTTCCAACACCGCCCCGACAGCATCAGACAGTGGAAGCGATTGTGGGGATTATGGATGTGCCGAATAGACGGGAGACTTGTAGGCGATGTCACAGATTGATGATATCTTCTTACAGTGAAACATTTCCAGTGAGGAAATACCCAGTTAGTCAGTGTCTGACAACCATCCCGTTAAACTACATATTTATTGTTTAAACGCTGCATTTCCGTCCATGTGTGAAATACATTATTTTCTTCACACATCGCCACCACTTTCATTCAATTCATGTCCATGTATTTATTCAAGAATTGTTGCTTTTACTTAATTTATTATGGGTGTGTGAACTGCATTTATTGCTCCTGTCTGTCGGGATATTTATTGTTTCCAATGTATCCAATGTTGGACTCATCAATGTTTAGTGACTTAACATTTCTCATTTTGCTCAAGGACACCATGTCCAAAATCGTCCCTTTCACATGACTTATTTAAATATTTATTGTTATTGTTATTGTTATTGTGAATAAATGAATGTTGAATAAATATTTTTTTCAAAAAGAAAACTTGTAATGCTTTTTTCTCGGATTGTCTATCCACAAAAGTTTGTTTGCTTTCCCCATTACTTTGATTCCTAAACACATGTTTATGGAAAAGTCGTAAGGTAAGATTGCTTTTTCGATATAATTCCTATAGTGAGGACACTATATTATATGAATGCCAACATCCATCTGATGGGCCAAGTGGCCTCTCCTGGCCGTCGTGTACGCCATTTATAAGGTCATTCGTTGCCATACACGTGAGGCCATAATTGAATGAATGTGTAGGGGGTGATTACATAATTGGCGAAATGTTTAAATCATCAGCAAATTTTCTCCTACCTTATCTGGAAATTATATTCAATTTTCTTTATGATAAATGAGAGTTCCCTTTGACCTGGTCATATCTACTAATATCTTAAACAATAGACTTGTATTCTGGGCTGAGTGCTGCAATACAATTAAAGAGGAACAAGCTCGTGTCAGATCAGGATACTCTACCACTGATAATATTTTTACCTTACAGGCCCTTGTCAGTAAATACCTCTCAAAAAGGGTGGAAAACCCTATGCTTGTTTTATAGTTTTTTCAAAAGTGTTCTTTTCTGTCAATAAACAAAAGCTCTGGTATCTTTTCAAAAAGAACGGACTTGGTTCAAAATTGGATAACGTGTTGCGATCTGTGTACCAAAACGTGAAAGCATGTGTGCGTACATTGAATAACGTAAACAGAGAAGTATTCGAATGTCCTCTAGGGGTACGACAAGGTTGTGTTCTTAGTCCGTTCCTGTTCTCAGTTTTCATCAATGAATTGATGAAATCACGTCCACTTGTACAAATGGCGTTCAGTTATTCCCTGACTTACTCGAGCAGTTTCTTCTGTTATTTGCTAATGACGTTATTCTGTTTTCTGATACTGTATTTGATATTTTAGAGAATTACTGCGAAACATGGAGTCTCCATGTACATTTAAACAAGACAAGTATTGTTGTATTTAAACAAGGGGGAAGACTTTCTAGAACGGAAAAGTGGCCCTACACACTTGCTCCAATTAAAGTTTCATCATCATACAAATACCTTGGTATGCTATTTACTAGAAATCTCACTTGGCATGTATCTATAAACAGTCTGACTGTTAAAGCTAAGAAGGCTCTCATAACTGTTCAGCGTGGTTTGTTTAAGTTTGAAAATCTTTCAAATGAACTATATTTTAAAATCTTTGACACTAAGATGCTGCCAATTCTACTGTATGGTCCTGAGGTATGGGGTATTCAAAGGTTTAAAAGCATTGAAAAAACCCATCTGCAAGCATGTAAACGTTGTCTGGGCATCCGCAGATCAACAACTAGTGATATTGTATCAGGTTCTATCTTATATTGGTTGAACCCTGTTGTTATGTGACTTGCTGCTAAAGACTATGACAAGGTGTGCACCTGAACGCTGTTGTTATATGACCTTCTGCTGAAGACTATGACAAGGTGCGTATCTGAACGTTGTTGTTATGCGACCTTCTGCTAAAGACTATGACAAGGTGTGCACCTGAACGCTGTTGTTATGCGACCTTCTGCTAAAGACTATGACAAGGTGTGTACCTGAACGCTGTTGTTATGTGACTTTCTGCTGAAGACTATGACAAGGTGTGCACCTGAACGACAAGGTTGTTACGAACTGTTGTGACTTTCTGCTAAAGACTATGACAAGGTGTGCACCTGAACGCTGTTGTTATATGACCTTCTGCTGAAGACTATGACAAGGTGCGTATACCTGAACGTTGTTGTTATGCGACCTTCTGCTAAAGACTATGACAAGGTGTGCACCTGAACGTTGTTGTTATGTGACTTTCTGCTAAAGACTATGACAAGGTGTGCACCTGAACGTTGTTGTTATGTGACCTTCTGCTAAAGACTATGACAAGGTGTGTACCTGAACGTTGTTGTTATGTGACTTTCTGCTAAAGACTATGACAAGGTGTGCACCTGAACGTTGTTGTTATGTGACTTTCTGCTAAAGACTATGACAAGGTGTGTAAAGACCTGAACGTTGTTGTTATGTGACTTTCTGCTAAAGACTATGACAAGGTGTGTACCTGAACGTTGTTGTTATGTGACTTTCTGCTGAAGACTATGACAAGGTGTGCACCTGAACGTTGTTGTTATGTGACTTTCTGCTGAAGACTATGACAAGGTGTGTACCTGAACGTTGTTGTTATGTGACCTTCTGCTGAAGACTATGACAAGGTGTGTACCTGAACGTTGTTGTTATGTGACTTTCTGCTAAAGACTATGACAAGGTGTGTACCTGAACGTTGTTGTTATGTGACCTTCTGCTGAAGACTATGACAAGGTGTGTACCTGAACGTTGTTGTTATTACTTTCTGCTGAAGACTATGACAAGGTTCTGAACGTTGTTGTTATGTGACCTTTCTAAAGACTATGACAAGGTGTGTACCTGAACGTTGTTGTTATGTGACTTTCTGCTAAAGACTATGACAAGGTGTGTACCTGAACGTTGTTGTTCTGCTAAAGACTGTGACTTTCTGCTGAAAACTATGACAAGGTGTGTACCTGAACGTTGTTGTTATGTGACTTTCTGCTGAAGACTATGACAAGGTGTGTACCTGAACGTTGTTGTTATGTGACCTTCTGCTAAAGACTATGACAAGGTGTGTACCTGAACGTTGTTGTTATGTGACTTTCTGCTAAAGACTATGACAAGGTGTGTACATGAACCTAAAGAACGTTGAACGTTGTTGTTATGTGACTTTCTGCTGAAGACTATGACAAGGTGTGTACCTGAACGTTGTTGTTATGTGACTTTCTGCTGAACAAAGACTATGACAAGGTGTGTACCTGAACGTTGTTGTTATGTGACTTTCTGCTAAAGACGGTATTTAACCATGCTGAGAGTCAATATTCACATGTGGTCAAACGAATGACGTCATAATGGATATACACGTCAAGTGGTGTTTCAATGACCCATGAGATACATAGACATACATAAGGCGCTCTGGCTAAAAGAATTAAGGTTACAATGTCAGTTAACCATCACCTCGTTAGGATGAGAAAGCCAATAATAACTCGGTGCGCCTAGTGGCAGCAAGAGTTGTATAATTCCCCAGGGAGTTGAGATTGCTAATACGATGTGCAGTTCATATTGAGATCCAATGATCGAGGGAAAAATACCAGCGCCTTGAGCATGCACTAGTGCGTGGATAGGTGCGCTATATAAATATCCTATAATAATAATAATAATAATAATCATCGGAAATCAGTCGTCGGACGAATTCAACCATATCATCAGCATGAGTAATGGAAAAGTAAAATACTTTTGGATTTCCCACCGAACAATGACGAAGCAATAAAGACCTTCTTTTAGAATCCACTCATTTATTCAACATGTGAACAATAAAAATGCCAAAACAATAACTTTGTAAATAAGTCAGGTGAACGGAATGATCTTGGACCTGGAATGATGTCCTTGAGCAAAATGAAAACTGTTTGAGAACATACATTTATATAACATACTTTAAACTTGATACGTTGGAGGATAAACATCACAACAAACATGTGGCAATAAATATATTAATGTACATGTAAAAAAATAACATTCATAATAAATTTAGTAAAACAACAATTCATGAATAAATACTTGAAAGTGAATTGAATGAAAGTGTTGTTGATGTATAAAGAAATTAAGATATTTCACATGGACGGAAATGCAGCGTTTAAATAATAAATATATAGTTTAACGGGATGATTGTCAGACACTGACTAACTGGGTATTTCCTCACTGAAATGTTTCACTGTAAGAAGACATCATCAATCTGTGACATCGCCTTCAAGTCTCCCGTCTATTCGGCACATCCATAATCCCCACAATCGCTTCCCACCGTCTGATGCTGTCGGGGTGGTGTTGGAACCCACTGTTGGTGTCCGGCGTTTGGCACAAGTACACCCAACGAAGTGTGTAATGAGTTTGGGTTTGTAGATAAAGAAACCATTTTCACAACCAGTTTGTTCTAAAACTCGGATTTGAGTGGAAACTCTCGCACTGGTTTTGGCTATTGTCAACGCACTTGTCACACTTACTACACATGGCCTGGGGATGGCACTTGGGTAGTGACCGGCGGGGAGGTTGGTGACGTTGTAGTACCAGGGACAGAGGACCTTCTCCACAGGGGTCTTTAGGGTCGTCACTGACGCTGCTGGGACAGGTGATGCCGTCGAGGTTGAACTGTCGAATACCTGGAGGATGTTCAGCTCTCCATGTAAATAGGACCCTGGTCTGGCACCTTGAGCGTTACGAAGAAAGATGGAGACGTCGGTGTTGGCGTTGAGACTTTGGAAGAGTTGGTTGATATCTTGAGGTGGTTGACAGTTGGCGACGTTACGACGTTGTTCGACCACGTGTTTCCAGGCGTCGTCAACAGGTAGAGCGGATGTAGAGAGGATCCTCACACACATCAGAACACAAAGCTCATAAATCATGTTGGAAATGGAAAACTTTCAAGAGAAATGTGGAGTGAAGTAGGGAATGATTTGTTGATCAGCAAAGGCTTGATGTATTGCCTGTTATGTGTCTGTCAACTACCCGTGGTACATTATATACAGAAGCAAATCCGGTGGGGAGTCCCTTAGGCTAAATATACATTTGCACCATCAGTGTAATATGTGGGATGAGGTAGGTACTCATCGATATGTTTCCGTGATTGTTTTTCTTGGCTGCCCGGGAATGTAGCTACTTAGCAGCGACTCCATCATGTGAAATAATCCAGTGGGAAATTGAGCAGGAATTCCACGCATGCGTGGTCTTGGGTTCGAATCCAGGATCCGACTAGAAACATGATACGGTTTGCCCAACCTAAATCACGCATGTAAGAAAACCAACAACCAATCGCATGGCCAGGGCAAGAGGCCCGACATTAGTTTCCGGTGATTGTCAGTGAAGATACTTCACTATAACATTTGTCGCAAAATATCAAGCATAATGTAGTCAAA